AGAATGCATTTTCTGAATAGAAATCTGATTATATGGTTCCACAAAAAAATGTTTATGCTATTTCTGGGTGTAAAAAGTAACTGAAGAAGACATAATTTGGATTATGGAACATCGGAATATCTGGGATATTTTGACAGATGATGGGAACAGGACAGAACAAATGAAAATGGGACTCACCTGAATGTTTTTCATGGTGTCTAAGCAGGACAATTATAACAAATATAAACAATACTGGACACTATTTTGTAACTGAAGGAAGGTTTCAGGTAAGTAATTGAAAGCAAAGTGGAACTAGCCTTCAAGTCGTATCTTTTTTCCTGCCCTGGGGCTCTTATGGTAAACAAACATTCACCACTAATTCCAGAAGTTTCTACCAATACCTTTTTACAGCTTATCTGAGAAGATACCATGTAGTGAGCCTGCCTTGAGAGAGCAAGATCATGACTCACTTTTCAATGAAGTCTGAAGCATCAGAATACTGTAATCTCAGCAAACTGAGACATAATGGTCAAGAGGCAGAAATACAAGGTGAAAATTCTACATAAGGGACCCCTATCAAAAGATGCTAGTGAGAAGAAGTACTCCTAAGGAAAACAAGCTAAGAGCAGGAACTACTTTTTGGATAAAAAATACATCTGTACAGATTTATATATCTTGAGGGAATACAAGTTGGCAATTACAAAGGAGTCCTTGTTGACTAAAATTATTCAACTATAACTGCATGCCTAGACAGTGCCTAGAGATGCAGGAGAGAACAAAATAAAGTCCAGGTCCTCATGGATCCTATGTTGTAGTAGGAACTATAGATAATAAAAAATGGACATGTAACAAATGACCACAGAGATGAGTGCTATGAAGAAAAACAGAATAAAGCAGAGAGTGATGGAGGCTGCTGCTGTGACAAGGTAACTAGGGAGGACCTCCTGGAGAAGGTAAAACATGAGCAGAGATTTGAATAAAGCAAGGAAGCAAGTATTAAGAATATATGAACAGTCTCCAGGGCAAAGAAACGGGAAGTGCTGAAGTAAGAGCTTAGTGTGTTAGATAAAGGGAAGGAGGCCAATGAAGTGGAGACTAGAATAAGTGAGGGGAAGATAAAAGATGGGGTCAGAGAAGTAGCAAGAAATTAGATTATATTTGGCTTTATAGAATTACTTTTAAAAATTCCTTAATATGCCTTAAGTGTGAAGGGAAACCACTGGAATGTTTTAAACAGTGAAGTGATAGGATGTGCTATGTCCTGAATTATTTTTGGCATAAAGTCCTTTGAAGCTTAAAGACAGATTTTCAGGGATCCCCTCTGGATACAAAGTGGGAAGAAAAGGCTAGGCACAGTGGCTCATGCCTGTACTCTCAGCACTGTAGGAGGCTAAGGCAGGAGGATTACTTGAGCCCAGGAGGTTGAGGCTACAAGGCTGCAGTGAGCTAAGGTTGTGTTACTGTGCCCCAGCATGGATGACAGCCAAGACCCTGTCTCTTAGGAAAAAAAAGTGGAAAGAAAGGCCCCAGGGGCTTATAGAGAGATGAGAAACAAGTGCCACCTAGTGGGCAAAAGCTGAACAGGGCGATAATGCAACTAGATCAAATCCCTCTTTATGATGCCTACCAAAGGAACAAACATTTACCACCAATTCCAGCTAAAAAGCAAACAAGCAGTTTTGGACTATTCTTGACATGTACAGTTGACTTGTAGAACTCCAAGACATTTCAAAAGAAAAGTATGCATCAAACAATACCATTAGGAAAGTGAGAAGAAAACCCACAGAATGGGAGAAAATATTTGCAAATCACATTATCTGACAAGGGACATGTTAAAACTCAATAATAAAGAGACAACTCAATTTAAAAGAGGGAAGAGGATTTTTCTTTTTTCTTTTCCCTTTCTTTTCTTTTTTTTGAGACAGAGCTTTGCTCTTGTCGCCCAGGCTGTAGTGCTATGGCGCCATCTCGGGTCACTGCAACCTCCACCTGGTTCAAGCGATTCTCCTGCCTCAGCCTCCTGCATAGCTGGGATTACAGATGCCCACCACCACGCCCAGCTAATTTTTGTATTTTTAGTAGAGACAGGGTTTCACCATGTTGGCCATGCTAGCCTTGAAATCCTGACCTCAGGTGACTTGCCTCAGCCTCCGAAAGTTTGAGCCACCACTCCCGGCCCAGTAAGAGGATTTCAACAAACATTTCCCAAAGATATACAAATGTCCAACAAGCACATGAAAAGATTATCAGAGAATATAAGTCAAACCATAATGAGATACCATTTCACACCCACTAGAATGGCTAAAATTTAAAGTCAGTAACAAGGATGTGGAAAAATTGGAACCCTCTTATATTGATGGTAGGGATGTGAAATGGTGTAGCCACTGTGGAAAACAGTCTGGCGATTCCTTAAAATGCTAAACATAGAGTTACCATATGACCCAGAAATTATACTCCAAGGTATATGCTGAGAAGAAAACAGATATCTACACAAAAACTTGTAGATGAATATTCATATTAACATTATTCATAATAGCCAAAAGTGGAAATAACTCAAATGTCCATTCACTAATAAGCAGATAAGCAAAATATGGTACATATTAATACAATAGAATATTATTCAGCCATAAAAAGGTGTCAGTCCTGGCCAGGCGTGGTGGCTCACGCCTGTAATCCCAGCACTTTGGGATGCCGAGGCAGGAGGATCACAAGGTCAAGAGATCAAGACCACCCTGGCCAACATGGTGAAACCCTGTCTCTACTAAAAACACAAAAATTAGCTGGGCGTGGTGGCGTGTGCCAATAGTCCCAGCTACTTGGGAGGCTAAGGCAGCAGAGTCACTTGAACTTGAGAGGCGGAGGTTACAGTGAGCCAAGACTGCACCACTGCACTCCTGCCCGGTGACAGAGCCTCTGTCTCAAAAAAAAAAAAAAAAAGAGTAAGTACTGATACACACTACAATACGGCTCAACCTTGAAAACATGTTAAGTGAAAGACTTCAAGCCAGTCACAAAAGACCACATTTATATGAAATGTCCAGAACAGTAGGCAATGTAGTGGTTGCCTAGGGCTGGGGGGTAGCTGGGAGAGAAATGGGGAGTGACCGGTAATGGGTACAGAATTTCTTTTGGGGGTGATAAAAATGCTCTAAAGTTGATTGTAGAATAGTTGTAGAACTCTGCAATATACTAAAACCACTGAACTATTTTAAATGGTTGAATTTTATGGTATGTAAAGTATATGTCAATAAAGCTATTTTAAAAGGAGAGAAACTGCCAGGTGTGGTGACTTATGCCTGTAATCCCAACACTTTGGGAGGCCAAGACGGGCAGATCGTATGAAGTCAGGAGTTCAAGATCAGCGCAGCCAACATGGTGAAACCCCATCTCTACTAAAAATAAAAAAATTAGCTGGGCATGGTGGCAGGCACCTGTAATCCCAGCTACTCGGGAGGCTGAGACAGGAGAATCACTTGAACTTGGGAGGCAGAGGTTGCAGTGAGCCGAGATTGCTCCACTGCACTCTAGCCTGGGCGATAGAGCAAAACTCAGTCTCAAAAAAAAAAGGAGAGAAACTAATCATCAGATGTCTTTAACATTAGAAAGAAAAATGTAAATGTTCAGAATTTTTTTTTTAAAGTCAAATATACAGAGACAGAGAATAAAACAGTGGTTACCTGGGATGGGGGAGGGGAGGAAGAAATGGGGAGATACAAATAAAAGGACATAAAGTAGCAGACACGTAGGGTGAACAAGTCTATTGAGCTAATGTACAAGTGAGGACTATAGTTAATAAAATTCTATTAGGGATTTTAAGTAGATTTTAACTACTTTTTTTTTTTTCAAAAAAGTATGTGAAATGATAGATATGTTAATTTGCTACACTATAGTAACCATTTTACTATATGTATCCCATAGCATCATGTTGTAAACATCATATATACACAATAAAATGTGCTTAAAACTGCCACTACTGGCTGGGCGCAGTGGCTTATGTCTGTAATCCCAACACTTTGGGAGGCTGAGGTGGGCGGATCACCTGAGATGAGGCATTCAAGACCAGCCTGGCCAATATGGTAGAACCCCGTTTCTACTGAAAATACCAAAAAAACTGGCCGGGTATGTTGGTGTGTGCCTGTAATCCTAACTACTTGGAAGGGTGAGGCAGGAGAATCACTTGAACCAGGAGGCGGAGGTTGCAGTGAGCCAAGATCATGCCACTGCACTCCAGCCTAGGCAACAAGAGGGAAAACTCTATATCTCAAAAAAAAAAAAAAGATTTCTTAAAATTTCCTCAGCTGGAGTTCAAGACCAGCCTGAGCAACCTAGCAAGACCCTGTCTCTACAAAAAATAAAAAAATTTAGCCAGTTGTAGTGGCATGCACCTGTAGTCTCAGCTACTCAGGAGGCTGAGTTGGGAGGAGAGCTTGAGCCTGGGAGGTCGCGGTTGCAGTGAGCCATGATACTCAGTGTGGGAGATAGTGAGACCATGTCTTAAAAAAAAAAAAAAAAAAAGGAAAAAGAAAAAGAAAGAAAACAGATATTTCCTATGCTAATACTTTTTTCTGTCTTTGTTCCTACTCCATAAGGTAAAGAGCAGCTGATATGTAAATCGCAAAGCCCACCCCAAGAATAAAGAAAGAAAATCTTACATCATTTCGGTCTTTAGTCAGTCTCTCCTCTAGTTCCTGGGCTAACTGCAACAGCCACCATTGTACCTAAAAAAGTATTGAGACTTTAATATTTCATTTAAACACTCGAAGTCTATTAAGAACTAGATGGTGTATTTGTTCTTTTCTCCCAAACAGAACTGTGCACAAAAGACTCCCCATAATCAAAGGATCACCAGATCATAGAAATGTTCCCAGTCCTTCTGTCCTGCCCTAGCTCAAGACTTTAATTTTCTTTTCCTGCTGGTTTGCTATTAGGTGACTTTCAAGCATGTTCCAGCTCTGAGAAAAAGACAAGACCCAAACTTGAAGCATAATATCCTAGGCTTTCCAAGTCTCCATCTACTAAACAAATGAGAAATTCCACTTTATTTCGATAGAAGAAAGAGAAAAAAGTAATCATCATAAACTAGTCAATTTTCAACCCAAGGAAAGAACATCTATTTTCTTCATACTTTATAAAGGTCTCCTCTAACCTATTAAACCTTCCACAGCTACCAAAACCTACTCGCTGACCCCTTTAAAAGAGGTAGTGTTCTGTCAAGAATGCCTGCTTACCTGCTCCCGAGTAGCAAGAGCTGTTTTTCCTGGGAAGTTCTTACTACAGCCAATGGTTTTGGGTAGTTGCCTGGGTTTAACTGGATCATGTTCAATCCCTCGGCACATGGCATACAGCCAAGACCTAATAAGACCAGCAAAAAACGTTAAGGTGAAATTAAATGATTATTCTTGTTAAAACAAAACCAAATAACTAAAACCTTGTCCAAAATTTAGTGTACTGGACCTCTGACAAAATCCTGCCCTTCTCAGTGAATTCCAGTGCAATATATGGACAATGAGAACACTGGTTCTACTTTCTAAAGCCAAGTCATCATTTGTATTTTTGGAAAAATGCCAAGCAAGCCACTGATTCATATCCCCAAGTGTGTGTGTGCTTGCTAGGGCATTAAACACAAGCATTTTAAGAGAACATAGCATCTCAGCATGCATGAATGATGTAATTAGTATATACTCAGGCATCAAAGTAACAAATCCTATCTATCAACCACCCAGGTACATGGAAAAAACTAGTCTAGACTGATAGGCCATAGTGACCCAAGATTTTAAAGCAAGAAGGACCAGTGAAATTATCTCAAGAAACAAATGTTAACCTAAAGATAGGTCTAGATTTTACTAGATGCTTTTGTCTATATTTGAATGTTGCATCTCCATAAAGTTTATGATAAAAAAAAAAATGAATCACTTACCCATTCTTCTCCCCAAAATGACTCTGGAGCTGGGATTCAGTGAACTGTGTCAGTTCACCCATGTATTCTACCCCTAGGATCTCAGTGACAGAGGCCCCTAGCTTTCCTCCAAGATTACGGCTGATAACAAAGGAGACAAAGAATTGATAGGTCACATCATAAATATCTAATTAGCAGCAAACATAAGACATTCTACTTTGTAAGTAGCTCTCCAAAAGGTTCAGGACAAATGAGAGCATATATTCTGGGAATTCAGTTACTCTGGGAGTTAAAATTTGAGGAGAAGATTAACAATAACATAACCACAAGGCTAAAGTCCTTGATTAACTATCAAGTAAACTGTATATAAAACTTTCAATTGTACAACACCTGCTGTCCTGTTTGGGGATTAAAATCCCAAACACAAAATAAATCCCTTCCATGGCTAAAACTTTACTTAAGAATATATAATCTGGCCGGGCACAGTGGCTCATGCCTATAATCCTAGCACTTTGGGAGGCCAAGGCGGGAAGACTGCTTGAGTCCAGGCATTTGAGACCAGTCTAGGCAACAAAGTAAGACCCCAACTCTACAAAAAAAATTAAGGCCAGGTGTGGTGGCTCATGCCTGTAGTCCCAGCACTTTGGGAGGCCGAAGCGAGTGGATCACTTGAGTCCAGGAGTTTGAGAACAGTCTGAACAACATGGCGAAACCCTGTCTCTACAAAAAAATACAAAAAAATTAGTTGAGTGTGGTGGTGTGCAGCTGTAGTCCCAGCTACTTGGGAGGCTGAAGTGGGAGGATCACTTGAGCCCAGGAGGCAGAGGTTACAGTGAGTCGAGATTGTGCCACTGTACTCCAGCAAATTAACTGGGGATGGTGGCATGTGCCTGTGGTCCCAGCTACTTGGGAGGCTGAGGCAGAAGGATTGCTGGAACCCAGGGGTTAAGGCTGCAGTGAGCTCTAAATATAAACACAGTCAGCTGGGCACAGTGGCTCATGCCTGTAATCCCAGTACTTTGGGAGGCCAAGGCAGGCAGATCATTGGAGGCCAGGAGTTTGAGACTAGCCTGGCCAAAATAGTGAAACCTCGTCTCTACTAAAAATACAAAAATTAGTCGGGCGTGGTGGCATACAGCTGTGGTCCCAGCTACTCAGGTGGCTGAAGCAGGAGAATCATTTGAACCCAGGAGGTGGAGGCTACAGTGAGCTGAAATCATACCACTGCACTCCAGCCTGGGCAACAGAGTGAGACTCCGTCTCAAAAAAAAAAAAAAAAAAAAAAAGTCAAAATTCTTTAGCCTAGCCTTTGAGGCTCCCTATAATCTGTCTTTAAATCATCTTTTCAGTCTATTTCCATTATCTTCCTCAATATGGTGCAGCTGAACTACTTTAGGTCCCAGTTCACTGAAAATATCTCATACTTTCCCCTCTTTGTGCTAAAAAGTTCTCCAAATCAGTAATGCTTTGCTGTTTTAGTCTGACTCTCCAAATTGTGCCAAATCGCAAAACAAAATCCCATGCCTTTTTATAAATCCTTCTCCAAATACTCCCTTCTTTTGTGAAGTTTGTTCTACCTGTACAATTCATTTATCAATTATGCAGTCTTATGACAGCACTTTTACTATTGCTTTTTACCTTATCCTTTCTACAATATTATAAGTCCTTGTCAAAGCCACACAACTGGTAGGCACAACCTGTTCATTTGACTTGGCTTCTTCTCTAATGCCTACTTTGGGAGCTGAAATTCAGCAGCCCTGAACACCTTGATTTGCTATTAGAGGAAAGAAAAGAAGTAAAATTCCTGTTTGTTACTTAATAACAGACTTGAATAAAAAGTCTAGAGGGGCCGGGCGCGGTGGCTCAAGCCTGTAATCCCAGCACTTTGGGAGGCCGAGATGGGCGGATCACGAGGTCAGGAGATCGAGACCATCCTGGCTAACCCG